GTATCTACACTCGAGTGCTAAGCATTGAGACTTCTGGTGACTCAATGTTGAGTCCCCGCTCTGTGGCAGTAAGAATAGTAATCACCTCATTTCATGATTTTCAGTGTAGCTTCCTTTTGAAATGTACGTGCAAATCGAAGCAAAGAAACTGGAAGCATTGAATACCGCTGTACTATCAAAAAAATTCAAAGGACCGAATATAACGTGTAACCGAGAATATAAAATAGTGGGCAATAACCAATTTCTGGAACCATACACAAGTTCAAAAGCATGCACCCAGAGGAGAGGCATATATTATGAAACAAAGTGAAATGTCTCTGCAGTTGCAACGACCCATTGATGACACGCCCTACCCATGCTTAGTGGAGTCGTCCATGCTTGCGGGCCTATTCCTCTTCTCTCATACTCTCTGCGTCCCCTTCACCGCCCGTTCGATCGCATTGTTTGCCTCCCATCCCATCGACCTTTGCCACTATCCACGTCTGCTCGATTGCCGTGTCTTGGGTGCTATCTGCTGCGGACAATGCTGTCCCAGAGGCTGTGGGACGTGTCCGTGAACACTCCACCTGTGCGAGTCCTTACGAGCTTTCGTAGGTATTGCTCCTTTGTGAATTCATGAATGGGAAAGCGAACCGGGCGTAGTAACCACTCGGCTTGTTCATTGATGTCGAGAGTGATCATCGTGCCGTCGATAGTGTGCTCTTTCGATGCAGACAGAATGTCCGCACTCGTGATGGGATCACGATCGCGATATCGATCCCAGAACCGGAGTTTTCCTGATTCGAGGGCCCAGGTCAGCTGCATGCGGCGCAAGACGGAGCACAAGATCCCCTTCATGACCTTGAATCCTTCATATCCCGGCTCGGCAAAGTTGATGCAAAGGGAGCGCGCATATGGGGAGTTAATTACGTCTCGCAAGGCGTCCAATGGAAGGGTGTGCACAACTTCGGCATCATTATATGAGAGATCGAGAGTGATGCTCTCGACATGCGCCAGTGGTGGACTTGCACCTTGGCTTGCACTTAGTCGGCAAACCTTGACTTGAATATAGATGTAGTTGCACACAGAGTACCGACCTGGGCCGAATGAAGCGCAACCAATTGACACCGCATCTGAGGAGTAATAGCCAGTGAGTTTTGCACTACTGACATGAGCTAGAAGATTTACCAAACATATTGCCGTTCCGATCATCAAGACGCACACTCGCCCTTCCAGGTCTGTTTGGCATCAGCGCAAGCAGGCCTTGAAGGGTGGCATCCCATGTACGGTCGTCAAGATCTATGCGGCGAGCAGGTGCGACAATGTCAGCAGCAAGCGCTACTTGAGTGGAAACTGCCATATCCTTACAATGCTGTATCTTACAGCCCAGGGAGTGGAGAGTTGGCAGAGCACGTCGCTGAGTTCTACGTGACTGGACGACCGGCGACGGGTCTAGGAAGGCAAGTCGCCAGCAATGACATTCAGAGAGGGTGGGGAAATTGTCGATGAGCCGTGCGAGCTCGGTCTTGCTCATGAATACGACATTGTCAAGAGTGAGAATGGAAAGCCGGACATAGGATGGAGTGACGATGGGTACCAACTCAAATAGGGCCCAACAGCCTGCCGTTGATACCAAATTGCCCGAACGGTTCACGACGCTACACTCGAATCTTGTCTCCCGGAGTCGGGTTGAAAGTCCATGGACATGGTGAAGCCAGGGCTTTCCCCCTGTAGCTTCTTGACGGATAAATATCTGTTTAAAGGACTTGGACAGACATGAAGCTGTAATTCTGGGACTGTTGGTGATGTTCTTGAGGAATCGTACGTCTTCGGCGTCGCGCAACTCGAGTGTATGGAAGAGAATAGGTCTGATCGCTTCAGACCAGTGCTTGCATACGAGACCAAGCATAGCGAGCCCGTGTTTCATCTTGCGATGTACTATATCCATGTCATGCAGATGATAGAGACAAACTGGCGTGAAACATTTCAGGATGTGTGACAGTATTTCAGGTGGCAGATTGGCTCCTGTGGAGAGTGACATCTTCCAGGACGACTGGACAGACGTACAAGTATTTGTAGGGCACGAGGGCGCGAGAAAGAGTGTGGTGTACAAGGCCGAACAATGGACAACGCGCCTACAGCACTGTAGCACGGCAGTGCACGGCCATTTGCCTCGTGAATACAACGTTCACAAGGACATGATCTTGCGGCGCTTGCCCCTGAATTTCCGTCGCCTCAGACATCACACTTCGATGTATTTGGCTTCAGGCTTCAGGCTTCAGGCTTCAAACATTTACCGCAGCATGTTCCACAGAAACACTGTTCCACGTACAGCATTCGCTGAACTTGTCCATGCTCGGAGCCTCTGACTAGGTCGCGCCCAAGTTCAAAGACAAGCATAAAAGTAAAGCATTGAGATCATTGCACTATTTATTTCAGAGAAAGCGTGACAAGTACAAGTGAAAAGACAGCGTCGCGTCCGCTTTTCTCAGGTTGTATTTGTTGAAGCGCCTAGTGGCTCTGGCTCGGCGTTCCGCCTGGCATGGACTTAAGGTGGACATCTTAGATTAGGCGCTGCTAATACGTAGATAATGATTGGACAATCATATGTAGTGCTCCCACGCACGGACCCCTTTATGGCAGGCTTCCCCATTCTAGCGGACTTTCAATTTTGCTTCCTTTTAGTATATAAGGACTCCTCTCGCATCCCCACTCTGCGTGCTCTTTCCCTTCGCACTCAGACTAATCCCCCGTGTGTATTAGATCGTGCCCGCGTGCCACTCGCCAGTTCGCGCTCGCGCAGCCCAGTTGTTGTATCACGACAATAGGTTATGAGCCCCGGCTTGTAACTGGCCCCCATCTACCCTCCATCTCTCACGAGTCTTCACTCGGAGAGATCCGGCACCAGCCGCACACTTGCTCCATAACACCTCAGGGTCTTTACCCCAAGTGTTACTCCACATCGCAACACGGACACTAGAGATCCTCTAGTGCATGTCTAGTCCATCTGCATCACGTCCACCTTCACCAACTGCACCGACACCTGCACCTGCACCTGCACCCCGTCCTACACGCCGCACTCCCGCCGTTCCTCCTACACCCTCTCAATCCGCATCCACCGCACCACGCTGCATGACAACCATGTCCTCCGCCTCCGCATTCGCATCAGCCACCGGTCCGCCATCGATGAAGCTCGACGCGATCAGGAAGCTCAAAGGTTTCAGCGACTACCCACGCTGGTCCCTGATGATGCAGCAATACTTCATTGCTGCACGCACATGGAAGGTCGTCGACAGCACCGAGAGAATCCCTGTCCAAAGCAGCACCGTCACCGCTGCAGACGTTGAAGCATGGGAAACGACAAACGCATACGCGAGGTTTTACATCCTCAGCACGCTCGGCGACGAGCTCCTGCACCTTGCCAACCCAGTGGACATCACAGCCGCCGCACTGTGGAAAAAGCTGAAGGACAATTACGCCGCCTCCACCACGATGTCGGCATTCGTCAAGTTCCATGCATACTTCTCGCACGCGATCACGGACAGCGATGACCTCGCTGCCCAACTTGGCGAACGCGCCCGACTCTGGCAAGAGGTCAGTGCCTCCGGGATCCTCCAAACCCCGGAGCTCCTGCAGATATTCGGCCTGCTCACGGTCCTCCCCGACTCGTTCAACAACGTCGTGGAGCTCATCCTCGCAGTCACCAAGCCCACTGACCTGAAGCTCGACGACATCTGCAATCGTCTTCTCGATGAAGCGAAACGTCGCAGCTCCTCCACCAACGTTGCTGCCTTCCACGCACCAAAGGTGTCTACCTCAGGCAAAGCCAAAGCTGGCAAACCTGAAGGCAAGAAGGGCAAGTGCAACTTCTGCCACTACAAAGGCCACTACGAGCAGGATTGTAGAAAGAAAAAGGCCGCCGCCGATGAGGCGCGGAAAAGCAGCAATGGCAAAGCCCAGGACGGTAAAAGTAACCCGTCCGGTAGCAGTACTGGTCACACATCTGTACATGTAGTCACCGCCAAAGGAGCCGCTGCTCCTGAGGCCGAAATTCACTCCGCTTCCTGGTATCTCCACGGTGTGAAACGCTGGATGTTAGACTCTGGCTGTACACGACACATTACGAACGACCTGAACGACTTCGCTGAGTACAACGCCTTCGCATCACCTACGTATGCAACACTAGCAGATAAGGCGAAAACGCAAGTAAGCACGCTCGGTTCAGGTGTTGTCGAGGGCACTACGCTCGCCGACAACAGACCAGTAAACATTAGGCTAGAGAACGTTCTCTACAGCCCTGCAATGTCCGGACGACTAATTTCCGTCTCATGCATCAAAGACAAAGGCTTCGATCTCGTCTTTGGGAAAGAACGAGCCCAAATCAAGCGTGGTAACACCATGTTTGGGATAGGCACTAAGTCCCGCGGTCAGTATTGGTTGGACCTTACTCCACCTCCACCATCTGTCGCGGTCTCCACGCACAATGCCACTTCGCTCGACGTTATCCATCATCGGTTTGGTCACCTAAACTGGGAGGCAGTACGCAAGCTCGCCGCTACTGATTCCTCTCCGGTCAAAGGCCTCATCGCCGCCAATATAGATAAACCTTCGCATCCCTGCGAAGGCTGCGTCTTGGGCAAAGCACACAGGCGTACCTTCCCTACATCGTCCACCTCACGCGCCAACAAACCCTTCAACCTCATACACTCTGACCTCGACGGACCTATGTTGGTGGTGTCCCTCACAGGCCACCGATACTTCGCTACCTTCATCGACGACTGCTTCGACGTCACATGGGTCTACTACCTGCGAACAAAGGATGAGTTCCTCCCCGCGTTCAAAGACTTCGTAGCCCTCGTTGCGTGACAGTTCGATACGGTCATCAAGGTCTTTCGGTCAGATCGAGGGGGTGAATACCAGTCCAACGAGTTCATCAACTTGTTGAAGAAATCTGGGATCATCCACGAGCGCACAATACCCGGTACCCCACAGCAAAATGGCAAAGCTGAGCGCATGAACCGCATGCTCGTAGAAGCCGCTAAGTCAATGCTACAAACCGCCGGGTTATCACACAGATTCTGGGAAGAAGCTGTTTGCACAGCTGTGCACGTACGCAACAGAGGCCCTAAGAAAGCCATTGCATGGCGTACGCCTCTGGAACGACTCACTGGCACCACACCGGACGTGTCCCACTTCCGAGTCTTCGGTTGCCAGGCCTATCGCCACATACCCGGGGATAAACGCAGGAAACTCGATGCTAACGCTGAGAGCCTAGTGTTTATTGGCTACGAGATGAATTCTAAAGGTTATCGTCTATGGGATAAACGTAGCAGAAAGATCACCACGAGTACCGATGTGATATTCGACGAGTCGATCTTCCCCAACAAACTCCTACCCTCACCGTCCTCGACACAACCGACCGGATCTACATCCACGCTGCCATCATCTGTCGAACTCGAACTACCACCCCTTTACACGCCACCGGCTCCTACGCAGCCGCCACAGCCTGTACCACCTCCTACTCAACCAAACACACCTAAAACACCTACAGCATCCCAGATACCACGCCTTACACCTCGAACAGAGTTGTATCCACCTCTGCCAATCCTGCCAAGTGCACCGGTCAAGCCTGAATTCAAAGGCAAGGCCAAAGCCTCACCATCTCGCGTCATCGACCCTCCGCCACCTAAACCAAATCCCAATACAACCTCATGGGACTACAATCCCTTCTCCAATCCTGAGCATGCCACGACGTCATCAGGCGTCTGCCGCGGTACCCGCGAGCATAAAGCAACTCAGAAATGGACGAGTATTTGGCCCGGAGCGACCAAAGCAGACATTGAAGAAGCACTGAACACAGGCAAGGAACCGGGCGATATTGCTGCGATCGTAGGCGACTCCTCCATCGCTGGAGAGCCGCGAACCTACAAGCAAGCAGCTGACGCCCCGGACTCAGCGGAGTGGATGACTGCCATGAAGGCCGAAATCACTGGCCCCCTGGAACAAGGCACCTGGGAACTTGTCGACCTACCTAAGGGTCGCAAGGCGATCAAGTGCAAATGGGTATACGTTGTCAAACGCAACGAGAACGGAGAAGTGGATCGCTACAAGGCAAGGCTTGTAGCCAAGGGGTTCACGCAAGTTCAAGGCATCGATTACGAAGATACCTTCGCTCCCGTCGCCCGTCTGGAGTCCTGGCGATACCTCATCGCCCTAGCGACCATCCAGGACTGGGAAATCCATCAGATTGATTTTGATACAGCATATCTGAACGGAGAACTCAACGAGGAGCTCTACATGGAGCAACCTGAAGGTTTCGTAACGGACGCAGGCAAAGTATACCGCCTGCGGAAAGCAATATACGGGCTAAAGCAAGCGGGACGAACATGGTTCCTCACGCTCAAAACCTGCCTCGAGGACATTGGATTCGCATGCCACAATGCCGGCGACGTATCAATCTTCATTCGTCGTCAACGAGGGGGATCCACTCAAATTCTTGTGGTTTACGTTGACAACCTAACTATGATGGGAAACAGCCTCAATCTCATCCAACAAACGAAAGAGGCACTGAAGAAAAGGTTCCAACTCAAGGACCTTGGCGAACTCAAGTACTACCTTGGCATTCGTGTCACGAGGGATAGGGGGAGTCGAGCCACATACCTCGACCAGGAAACGTACATCGAATCCGTTCTCAAACGATTTGGATACGAAGACTGCAACCCCGCATCCACACCACTCGGCACTGACATTGTACTCGAGAAGAACGAGGAAGACCCTGTGGACTGTCCACAAGACCGCATCAAGCTCTACTGCTCACTCCTCGGCTCACTCATGTACGCCATGCTCGGGACTCGCCCCGACATTGGCTTCGCTGTTGCCCGACTTTGCCAATACCAGGCAAACCCTTCA